CATGATGTCTTACCGCTCTCGTTCCTTTTCATCAGTTTATCATTACATCATGCCTCTTTTCTCATTCACTTCAGCCATATCACTGATTCACTCTCATTCATAATTCTCCGTGCAAGCTGTAATCCATTCGATCCTCAACCTTTCAATTTGAGTGCAACAAACTTTCCAATGCAAATGAATCGTAATAAGCCGTTTGGCAAAGCGCGGTGAAACGAGATATTAATGTTACTTGTTGTGCAAATGTCACGGATAATCGTGAGATATCAGTGAGATTCTCCATGAATCGCTTTAATTTTTTCAAGTTTTGTCTTCTTATTAATGAGACGCTTATTCGGCGAGATGTATTTACGATACAGGAGTTTTTTTAACGCTTTTCAAGGATTTGTCACGTTTTTGTCGATCATTTTTAGTCCATCAGGTCTTCAGGTCATGTCTTCTTTTTTGTGTACGTATTCGATTTCACTAACATTCTCAAGTTCAGTATATCCCTAGTCTCCAGTCTCATGTACCGATTGCGTTGATTTGTTTGTATGTAGTTTTTTGTGTAAGTAATAAAGGCTGATCTTCAGCTTGAAAAGTGATCAAGCTGGAGCGATGACCACTTCACTAACAGCAGAGCAGATGGCTCGAATAGCCCGGAATAAGGCAGAAGCTGATCGTTGCAGAGCACTCAGTCTAGCAAAGTCAAAAGCACAGATGCAAAGTGTTGTTCAGAATTCATCGTCCAACTACCCGAATGCCTTCTCATTCAACAAAGAAAATCCTTCGGCTTCATCAGCAGCAAAAGATATTTCCAAGAACGATGCATTTCGAGGAGCAGTGAATCAGCGGCGACCTCCGACGTTGTTTCATTCGAGCAATACGCCGTCTTCATCAAGCGAGAATGCTAGGAAGGATAATTTTCATCAAAAAGTAGTCGAAACTGTTTTCGAGAGGGATCCGTTTTCTTCATCAGCAGGTCAGCCAGCCGGAAGAATTAATTTCACGAATAACAGTGTACCATTAGGTGGAGTTGTCATAAATCATGTGGATCCAACAATTTGTATGCCGCACAAAAAGCAGATTGATGTGACGTACAGTGTTGTGGATACTCGTCGTTTTGCAGTACGTCGTTTTTTTTTCATTCATTTTCTGATTCTTTGAATCGTGCATTAGCTCGTTTTTAGTAGAAATTCAATGTGCTTCTATTGATTTATCTATCGATATTTTCGAAAATGGTGATACGCACATGATCCAAAACAACCTTACGCATGACCTCTCATAGCTATGAATGTTTCAGATTGAATATGAAACGATTTCAATTATTAGATTCATTTTAAGAATTTTTTTGCCTAAAGATAAGATTAATTCATACATAGGAGGAATAAGAAATTGATCAGTTAGGATTATATGGTATTTCAGGTGGCATTTACACCGTTCGATCAGCTCCTACCATCTTTGCTGAAACAGATTCCTTCGAAGTCCTACAATCCAGATACGAAACAGTGGACTTTTTCTATGGACGATTACGATGCCGTTGAAACCAAATTACTTTCTCTTAGAAATGCGCTCTCAATAACACTGCAAAAACTTCCTGACAACGTTGTCAAAGTTAGTGCCTTTGCCTTCAGTAGTGATTTAATTCAAAAAAAGAAGGGACTTATCACCTGTTATTAATTATTCACAGAATCAATGAACTATCACCAATTACGGAAAGTAATTGTTGATTAATGAAGACACTGAGATGATGTAATTGAATTTCAATCATTTTTGGTTTTATTATTTGCAAATGTTGAAGAAATCAATCATAAGCACTATTGAAATATAATCCGGAAGTATGAATAATGTAAATTGCAGATACTCCGTAATGCATCTCACGGTGGGAATGAAGTCACCGAGCAAAAACTGAAAGGTTTTGTTGATCAAACGATTTTGGATGCACTTTTTCCGTATCAACGAAAGGGAGTGTGGTAAGTGAATGCAAAAGTTGATCAGTTCAGATTCACTATTTAAAAATTGAATTTAGTTTGAATCATTCGTTCGTTGTTTCGTTTTACGATTCTCCGTTTCAGTTTCGGTATTTCGCGTCGTGGTCGTTTGTTGATTGCAGATGAGATGGGTTTGGGGAAGACGATTCAAGCGTTAGGCATTATGCGATACTTTAAAGCTGACTGGCCGTTGTTGATCGTCTGTCCGTCATCAGTTAAATCAGTTTGGATGAGTCAAATTGAACGATTCTTACCGTCCGTAACAAATATTCGAGTGATCGAGAAAGGTAGTGATAAATTGCCCTCTGAAAGGTCGAATAAAACAGTCGTCATTATGAGCTATGATCTGATGGTGAATATGCAACGATCACTTCAAGAGTTTGCGTTCACTGCAGTTATTTTCGATGAATCACATTTGATCAAAGACGCACAAGCACAGCGAACGAAAGCTGCATTCAACATCTCGGTTTGTTGATATCGTTTTATAAACTGTCGTTTCGAATTATTTAACTTTTCAAATAATTTCATTCCTTTGATAGCAGAAATGCTTCAAATCGAGAACGTTAAATTATCTGATTTAATTGTGCGAAAAATTGGATAATTATCCGATTGTCGGATAATCTTTCAAAATGTGTCACTTTACAGAGGAAAGCATGTCGAGTGATTCTGTTGAGTGGTACACCGGCACTCTCAAGACCGGTCGAATTATATTC